GCCCAGGGTCATGCTGGTATTAAGGGGCACAGCCGGCGATGTGAGCCCCCCACTGCCCACCACGTCAGGCTGCCTGGGCTTCACAGAGCTAAATGTCTGAGCTGGGATATGAAGCCCAAGAGCGCTCCCCACGGCTCCCACTGCTTCCTGGGGGGAGAGGAGCCCAAACCGTGCCAAGGTCTCCACCTGCTGCACTCCCAACCCTAAAGAAAGCCAACGGGAATGGGCTGTGGGGACACAGCCAGCAGGGAAATGATGGGATGCCAGGGGCCAGGCCCCTGGTCCTGAGGCGGAGTGTACCCAGTCGCCCCAAGGATGGGGGTGCAGTGGAAATGGGGAGCCCTGAACAGCCCAGCACCTCTCCATGAGGCCCAGGCCACAGAGGAGAGGGTGGGTGCAATGCCCCTACTGCTCCTCAGACCGAGACGGGCACTTGGCCAGCTAGGCCAAAGGTCTGCCCGTCCCCCTCCTCCAATCATTCCCTTTATGAGCTCAGAGGTGCCAGCTCTACTAGCTGTGAGACCCTGGACAAGTCACTTAACCTTGATCCACCTCAGTTTCCTCATCTGTGAAACGGGGATGGTAACCTTGGTCTCCCAGCCTCACAAGGCTGCCGTGAGCAAAGCTCCAGGCTTCTCGCTAAGGCTCAGAGTGAACTGTCCACAGCTATCTCGCTGAGCTCAGGATACCTCTATCTGCGAGGGAAGGGCTCCGGAGGCCTGCCCAAGGTCACAGAGTAAATATCCGGGGCGGCTCCGGATTCCAAATTCACTGCATCATCCTCAAGGCTGTGGAGATGTGAACTTTCCCAGCTGGCTCAGGGCATGGGGTCAAAGGGTCTCTGGGAGGAAACTGAGGCACAGGCTAGGTGAGGAGCCCCAGAGGGCTGGGCTTAGTCTAGAGGACCTGAGTTGGAATCCTACACTGTGTATAAACGTGCCCCGGAAAATCACTTTCACCACCTTGGGCTCGGTTTCCTTATCCGTGGCCTCGGAGGCCCCTCCGAGCTCCAACGCCAGGACCCCGGGGACCCTGGGCTCCCCCCCCCACCCCGCCACTGCTGCCTGCAGGAGGGAGAGGCCCAGGCCAGGGCTGGGCAGACTGTGGGCAGCCCCAGGTTAATAATTCCGTTAATGATTTCTGCTGCAGGTTTCTTATCAGCCGGCACAAAGTCCAAGGCAAAGCCAATCAGCGGTCAGCGCTAGACGGTTACCCAGCATGCTACGCTCCTGCTGTCTCCCCCACACGCATCCACACCCACCAGTGAAGCGAGGTCAGGGAGGTGGCCCCCACAGCAGCCATCCTGGGCCGGTCGTAATGAGGACAAAGAATGTCCATCAGAGCTGAAGAGGACTTGAGGGACCAGACATTCTAACCCTTCATTTTACGTGGGGAAACTGAGGCCCAGAGAAGGGCAGTCACTCGCCCGGGCTAATTACCACCAGATGTGGATGTAAACCCAGGCCTCCTGACTCCTGATCCATCCACCACCTACCATGTGACCTCCCCAGACGCGGGAGAATCCCCCTCAGGTCCCCACTCCCTAAGGTTATCTCCAGGCCGTCTGCCCTTCTGTCCTTCCATCCCTCCCTCTCCTGCCCTTACCTCTCTCCATCCCCCAACTTCCTCCAAGCCAGCCTCCATTTGGATCGCTGTGGCGGGACTGTCCAATCACTCCTACACCCTCTGCCCCCAGAACACCCTCCCCGATGCGTCGTAATCACGGCCCGCTCCTCCCCAAGCCCTCTGCCTTCGTCTTCCCCTCCAAAGGGGCACGAGGTCCTTCTCTTCTCGAGCCTTCGCTCTCCGCCTTCCTCCCTGACTCTTCCAGGGGCCCCCTCCTCCCACCCCAGACCATCTGCGCTTCTGTCCCAGGACGGACATTCACAGAAAAGGCTGAGGCCATCGGGGGACCAGTCCCTGCATTTTATAGCTTCACACTGGTCCCATCCTCATAGTCAGAGGAAGAGCATTAGGGGCACCCCAGGTGTCCTGACGGGAAGCCTCGGGCTCCTCCCAGCATCCCAGGGGTCTGCCCCCTCTCATTCTTCCCCTTCTTCTTTCTGCATTTCCTGCTTCCTCTCAGGTTCTGCCCCCCTCCCCTTGGGCCTTGGGCCTTGGGCCCCAGGCTCTGACTCTCAGCCCTGGCTGGTGAGAGGTCCCTCTTCTCTTCCCCACCCCTCCAATCTCCCTGCTACCACGCCACACCCAAGGCCTCGATATCATTCTCCCCCCGGCCCCAATCTAGGCTTCTCCCATTCTGAAGGACCCTCGCAAGGGTTCCCTGGTCCTGCCAGGACATGGAGGGGCATCTCAGGTGCCTGATACCACCAGCCCAAGAGAGGGATTAAGCAGATAGATGCAAGCCCCCCCTCCAGGCACCTGGGTTACCTGCGTGGAACCAAAGCATTCTGCCCCTTCTCGGGGATGTCTGCCTGCCGCCAGCCCCACAGCCCAGCTCCTCTGTGGCCACTGCCACGGGCTGGTCCTTCCAGCTGAGGGGGCTGGGGATTACCTGGGGCTGATCCTGGGGGGCTAGGCGGTACCAGGCTCTGGGAGGCTGCCACAAAGCTCCTTAGCTCCCCCCTCCCCAAGCCCCTGCCAGGTGGGGAGGCTGGAAGGAGCACTCACTAGGGAGATGAGGGACCTTGGTTTGAATCCTGACTGCCACCCACTACCTAAGTGACCTGAGGCAAATCATTTAACCACCCTGGGCCTCAGTTTTCTCATCTGTAAAACGAGAGAGTTGGACTAGATCTCTGGGGTCCCCAGGTCAATGACCCTAAGGAATGGAATAAGAGGGGACAAAGGCTCCCTCTCTTCCCCTGGACAGTAAGAGGAATGTGTATGCCTCGCACTGGCCCAAACTGGCCATGAGACTCAGATGGAACCAGTAAAACCAGAGTCGTGTCTCAGGTCGCCAAACCTAGAGGGGGCTAAAAACAGCTAGGTGGCGCTGTGACCCTGGATACAGGAGGACCTGAGTTCAAATCTAGCCTCAGACACTTCCTAGTTGTGTGACCCTGGGCAAGTCACTTCACCCTATCCGCCTCAGTTTCCTCATCTGTCAAATGAGCTGGAGGAGAATATGGCAAACCACCACCCCAGTATCTGCACCAAGAAAACCCCAGACGGGGTCGAGAAGAGTCAGACACCACCACCACCACCACCACCACCACCACCACACAAGACACCCCGCCCCCACGCTGGCTTGGGGGCACATCCCGGGCTACCTTCCCCAATACGGCTCTGCCCCTGCCCCCATCGTCCCTCCTGCCCTCCCTCCAGGAGGAAGAGGAGGATCCCAGAACGCAACAGCAGACCCAAGCCTGGCTCGGCTTGCGTGCCCTCGGACAAGTCCCTTTCCTTCTCTGGGCCTCAGCGTCCTCATCTGTAAAACACGGGGGCTGAACCGGGGGGCGTCCCAGGCCCCGCGCGGTTCTAGGTCTCAGATCCCATGATCCCAACCCAGCTTGGACATTCTAAGCGGCTTTGTTCCCCTCCCCCCAACACCTCCCCATCTCTGCCACCCTTTGGTGATAAGGCTGACTTGTGTTTCCACAGCACGATCCCCACACTGGCCCGGGAGGTGGCGAAGGCAGGGATGGGATCCACTGCACAGATGCGGAGACTGAGGCTGGGAGAGAGGGCGCCTGGGCTGGCGCGCACACCCGTGCACGCGCACGCACACACGACTCTGCACCAAAGGCCCCCCTGCACGCACACACACACACACACCGGTTCCCGCGCCCCCTGCACGTTCACCCCGAAGCCTCGGCCCCACACAAAGGGAGGAGCAGGGCCGTCGGCGCCCCTCCCCCAGGCTCGGCCCCCTCTCCCCACAAGCATTCTTGAGCGCCTCTTATCTCCCGGGACGAGGGCCGCATGGCTGAGCCATGGCGTCAGCACGGCCGCCCCCCGCCCCCACCCCCCAGCCTGCCAAGGCGGAAGGTTGGGGTTTCTGGAGCAGAGGGGGTCAGGCGGAGCCCTCCTCTACCAAAGACAGACCTCTGGGCCCCCGGAACCAGGAGCCCCCCCAAATGAGGAGAAGCCCACCGGGCTCTCACCTGCCCTCCCTGGTCACCCTCGAGAACAGGGGGGGAATGGCTGGCTTTGCCTTCCCAAATAACGGGGCGTCTCCCCGGGGGGCAGTGACCACACTGGGGGCCCCGGGACACAGCCTCGGCTGGGAGGCTGGCAGGGCTCTCCCTCCCTCCGGCCCAGATGTCCTGCGAGAGTGGACATCCTGTCCCCAGCCTCTGGACGGTGCCGGGAGCAAGGGGGGGGGCAGCACCCCTCTGCCAGAGCCCGCCCGCTGCCTGCGGGGCGGCTCCTCCTTCGGGGAATGCCCCCTGGCCACAGCGGGCCCCCTGGAACGAGGGGGAGCCACCCACCGCCACAGTGCAGAGGGCGGGCTCCCCCAAAGGCCCCTGAGGGAGCAGGGGGGCACGGGCTTCTCGCTCAGATTCCGGGCTCCGGGTGCGGCCTTGATGGGGGGCTCCCTGCATCAGTTTGTACCCCCCACACCGGGGGGCAAGCGGCGGGCCCTCTCCTCGCACAGACCCGAGGGCACAGTGGGCCAAGCTGAGCTGGGAAGACTGGGGGTGGGGGCTGCAGGGGAGGAGCCCCCCGCCCCATTTCACTGCGAGATGAGAAGGAAACCCCACGTCTCGACTAGGAGAGGGCAGGGACGTCCTGACTCCCACTGCCAGGCTCTCAGCAGGTGGCGCGGGCCCCCCCCCCCGGGGCAGAGCACCCCGGGATGCGTGCCTGCGGCCACGGGGCCCCCGGGGCCCACCCGCAGCGCAGGGAGCCAGCGTCCTGAAGCCTGGGGTACAGCACCCCGTCCTGGGCGGGCACCGGAGGCAGGGAGGCTCAGCTCCACGGGGCTGCATGCCTGGGGGCCGGGGAGCCAGCAGGGGACACCCGAGGCCAAGGGAACGGCGCGGAAGGGGAGAGGCAGCGTGGGAGGGGGTCGGCGGAGGTCCCGCCGCTCTCACCTTCGAAGAACCGCTGCAGCGCCTCCGTCTCGTCCACTACCTCCATGTCTGCCCGGGCCCGGCTCCGGCCGCTACAGTCCGGCCCGGCGGGGCCGCATCCCCGGCGCCGTGCGGCCGGGCAGCAGCGGCAGCCGCAGGTCCAGGTCCCGGCCCCCCGCCGCGCCGCGCCGCGCCGCGCTGCGCTCTCCGCGCTCGCTGCGCCCTGTGCGCTCCCCGGGCCCCCAGTCGCTGCGCGCTGCGCCCGCCCCGGCCCCCGCCCCGCGGGCCCGCCCCCTGGCGGCCACGCCCCGCGCTGCGTCCCGGGGGGCAGCCCACCCCCACCGAGCACCGGCCCGCGGAGCGAGCCCCGAGGCGGACCCTCCCGCACCCCAGGCGTTCGGACAGGACCCACTCTAAGGACCCTTCCAGCGCCTTTATAGATTTTTAAGGGATTTGCCCCTCCCCCTTTTACAGATGAGGAAACTGAGGCCCGGTGCCAGGTCCAGCCTTTATGGGGAGGCTGCTTAGCTAGGCGGACACAGAACTGGATGCTGAGTTCAGATCGTGCCTGGGACGCTCACTCCGCGACCCTTTTCTCATCCTCAGTTTCCTCGTGTCTAAAGTGGGAATGATAATGATGCCCCTACCTCCCTGCATTGTTAGTGGGGTCAAGTGAGATTCTATGTCAAGGGCCCCCTTCAAAGCGCTCCATCCATCAAGGCCCCCTGCCTCCCCTATCCTCAGTTTCCTCTTCTGTAGAATGAGGGTGGGGGGAGGCTGGACCAGATGCCTTGCTTTGTCCTCTCTGCTTCTTTGGGAGCAGGACAGGGACGCTCCGTACCCTTGTGCCGGCTCATCCGGGGTCTCCAGAGCGCTGGAATCGTGACCACAACCACCTTTCTCAACATCGTGAGTGGGCCTGGCCCACAGGACAGAGCCCAGGAGCCTCTGACTCGGAGAGCGTGTGGGTTGTTCTGTCTGGGCCACACCGACCCAGAAGGGGCTTGACACGTGGTCCATGATTTAGTGGAGGTGGAGAACCTGCCTCCGGAGGCTGGACAAGTCTCCGGCTATGTACCTCAAAAAATGAGACGCTTGGCTGGAAGACCAGAGGTCCCTGCCCGTGTTACAGATGGGGAACTCTTGAGCCAAAGTGACTCGCCCAAGGTCACGGAGCCAGCGAGGGGCAGAGCTGAGAGAGGATGGTATCTCCGGGAGCCCGGGGCCCAATCTCACCCACCCCGGAACCCCGGGTGGGTTTGTGGGGACCAGGCCAGTCCAGATGTGGGCAGGGGAGGGTCAATGCCGAGCCGGGCCGGGCTGGGGTGGGGGAGGGGGTGCCGCACTGGGCCTCATTCTCCCAACGCAGGGCCGGCTCACAATGAGGTTTTGTCTGCCCCAGGCCTGCCCAGCGGCCCTCTTCTCTTACATATAGAATCGGATCTTGCTGGAAGCCCCAGCTGTGCGCTGACCAATTCTTCTCTGGGGGAGGGAGCAGGGGATAGGGTGGAGGGAGGGGGAGGGCGCACTAAGAGGCCTATTCTTTGTGGGCTGAAAAGCCCAGGAGGTCTCTCTCTTCCTCTGCTGAGACCCTGAGGAACACAATTGTTATCTCTGCTGCTGCCCTCCCTGCACCCCTTCCCTCAGGCCAGCCCCACAGCCAGACCAGGCGGCCACCCCTTGGGGCCAGGAAGGGTCCACGGCCCCCAAACATCTCCCCTGCCAAGCCTAGGATCGAGCTGTCAGGGACCTGTTTCTTTGGGGAAAGCATTGCCTCTCTCAGAAGAGGCAGGTTCATGTCATTGAAAGAGATCTAAGCGGAAGAGCTAGATTTGAATACAGGATCTCAGCCGGCAGGCTGTGTGTGACCACAAACCAATCATCCACTGAAGCCCAGAGCCCCGTTCTTCAAGGCATTAAAAGAAAAGCACAGGAAGCTAATTATGAGGAGACAGACCCTTCCAAGTCCCCAGGCCCAGGTTAAAGAGCCCTTGGAGAGGGAGTCTTTATTAAAATGCAAAACGTCCCAGGACAGGAGCACATGGAATCGCTGATGGGATCCTGGAAATCCAGGTTATCTGGTGCTTCCCAGAATGAAGAGGATGGGCAGGGGATGGGGGAAGGGGGGAAGGGAGGGAAATTCAATTACAGAATTGAGCCAGAAGGGATGTTTTTGTGCTAATGAGGAAACTGAGGCCCAGAGGGGAGAGAGGTATGCCACTCAGGCCAATGGGGTGATGGACCCAGCCCTGAGAGAGGGTCCCAGACCAGTGCCCAGGTTTTTGCTGGCAGACGCTAACACCTCCCTCTGGGACCGGGCTGGGCTCTCTGCAGGGGGCTCTCATCCCTGTTGGCCATTGACCCCGTGTCTGATGCCTTCTCAGGCTCAGGATGGACGGGGAGATTCAGGGTCTCGCCTTGAGAGACAGGCAGTGGCAAGTACCAGAGCCTTAGGTCCCACTGCTCTCCCCCTCTGATGGCCTGTCTCTTCACGGTCACCTCCCCAGAGCAGCACAGAGACACCATCTCAAAGTCCAAAGCCCGGGTTTGGGGCCCTGCGGCACTTTATAGGATGTCTCGAAGCCTCCTCCAGCTGAAAGAGCCCCTGAGCAGGTGTCAGAAGACCTGGGCTTTGGGCCCTGCTGTTAACTTGACTTCAGACTCATGACTGCACCTTAGTTTCTCTTTTGTTTAAAAGAAGAAAAAATCGAAAGCATCAAACTAGCTGATATCTGAGGTCCTTTCCAATTCCACATTCTATCTTTTATAAATTCTGAGAACTTAACTCTTAACCCCAACTCCGCCCTGGTCTTGGGCTGTGTACCCTTTTGGGAGGAAAAGAGGGAAAGAAGGAAGCAAGGAAGGGAAGGAAGGAAGGAGGGAGGGAAGGAAAGGGGGAGGGAAGGAGGAAGGAGGGAAGGAGAAAGGAGGGAAAGAAGGAAGGAAGGAGGGAAGGAAGGTAGGAAGGAAGGAAGGAAGGAAGGAAATACTTATTAAGGACTTGCTATGTGCCAAGCACTTTATAAATCTTATCTCATTCAATCCTTATAAAACCCTAGGAGGTAGAGTACTATTATGATCTCTATTTCACACAGGAGGAAAGGGAGGCAAGCAGAGGTTTGCAAGCAGAGGACCAGCCCAAGGTGATACAGCTAGTAAGTATCTGAGGCTGGATTTGAACTCAGGGCTTTATCTACTGCACCACCTTGCTGCCTTTGGCTGGGATGGGTTCAAGATATGGGGATCAGAAGGTGGGTTCTCTGTCATTGGGTTTGAGTGAGAGTTGATGCAAAAGGCCCAGGGCTTGGAGGGGGGAGAGATTCTGGGTAGAAGAAAGCATGTAAGTGTATCTGTGTACAAGTAGGAGTTTACGTTGGAGTTGGGGGGTGGGTGGGGCACTGTCTGCCCCAGTGGGGAAGGATCTGACCCTCCCTCTCACTCCCAGGGCTCCGATATCAAGATCTGGTCAGCACCCATGGTACTCTTGGAACACACTAAGAAGACCCACAAACTAGTACAGTGCCATCTTGGGCTCCCCCCAAAAGCCCTTCCTAACCCCTTTCTTCATTGGGCGGTGGCCAGAGGGGCCACCTTGGCACATAGTCCAAAGCTGCCTGGCTCGGGGTCAGAGAACTTGGGTTCAGACCCAGCCCTTGAGGTTTAAGACCTCTGGGATCTGGGGCCGATCACTTCACCTCCTTCCCCCTCCATTGCGTCCTCGGTAAAAAATGGGAGAAAACAAGGGGGCTGGACTAGATGAGCTCTGAGCTACCCTCTCTATCCCATGCATCTTCCATTTAAAGTGTCTCTCTTATGTGTACATCACGATTGACATATTGATTCTCCCCTGAGGGCAGGAATCGTTCATTCTCTCCCTGGCCCTTAGCCTAGTGCCTGACACACAGCAAGCGCTTAATAAATGCTTACTGAAGGGGCAACTAGGTGGCGTAGCAGTCCCGTCTCAGCCAGAAAATCTAGAGGGGGCTAAAAACAGCTAGGTGGCGCAGTGGCCCTGGATTCAGGAGGACCTGAGTTCAAATCCGGCCTCAGACACATAACACTTACTAGCTGTGTGACCCTGGGCAAGTCACTTAACCCCATTGCCTAGTCAAATAAATAAATGCTTATTGACTGGGTGATTGGCTAAACCACTCCTTTCTGATGTTGAGTTGGTGAAATGGGACTGACATGGGGTGCAGCCCCCAGTGGGATCGAAATCAGACAGTAGCTTGAAGGGAGCAGGGTGGGGAAGGGGCTTGGTTTTGGGGACCATCTCTAATTCTCTGATCTAGATGTCCATTGCACAGCCCCCTTCAACGGAGGCATCTCCCCTTCTGACTAATTTGCTGTGACTTTGGGAGAGTTGCCTGCTTTCTGGGCCTTGGTTTCTTCATGTGTAAAATGGGGGGCCGGGAGCCTCTAGGATCTAAATGACCCCTAAGGTCTCTTGCAGCTCTGACAGCCTGTGGTTCTCACTGGATGTGTCAGTTCTTGGAAGAAGGGGCCCTGGGGCACGGAGACCCCATGCTATGGTCTGGCCAATCCAAAGGGAGTGCCAATGCTGCTCTCTGCAGCCGTGACCACTCCCTGAAGGGCCTAGCAGCGCCACCTGCTGTCGGAAAGGAAACCATCTTCCCACTCTGGATTCCCAGATTCATTGCACCATAAATGGAGAACAGGGAGGGACGGAAAACCCAACCCCCTCATTTTACAGGAGGAAACTGAGGCCCAGAATTTAAGTGATTTGTTCAAGGTCACCTAGAAGTGACCCAGTTGGGCGCTCCCTGCCACCCTCCCCTACTTTGTGGATGTGGGAATTGAAGCCAATGGAAGGGGAGCCGCTCACCTAGGCACCTAAGTTCACAAATATGGCAGCCTGACTGGGCCTGGCACTCTTGACAGCTTTGTTTTCGTAATGGTGGGGGCTGAAAAGTTAGTTGTTAGGAGGGATTGGAGAATGTTAAAGCTGAAGGCGGCCTTACAAATCACCTAGTTCACCCTACCCACCATTACAGAAAAGGAAACTGAGGCCCAGATAAAGGGCCTCTCCCCCCTGGGTTTTCATGATAGTTCCATCACAGTCCTCTTCTTACCCTTTAGTAAGCTGATCCTTCTGTCTCTCTTGTAAGATCATCACACACATCCCACCTTCCATCTCAGGTGTATCTACCCTAGAGCTCTGTCCTGGGCCTGTCTCTCTCCCTCCTCCTTCTCTCTCTCTCTCTATCTCTTTCTCGCCGTCTGTCTCTCTCTCTGTTTCTCTCTCTGTCTCTATTTCTCTTTCTCTCTCTCTCCCTCTTTTCTCTCATTATTTTCCATGGGTTCAACTATCATTTCTCCACTGGTTTTCTCTCTCTCCTGAACTCCTCTCTCTCCTGAGCTCTAGTCCCACATCTCCAACTGCCTGCTTGACATCCGCACCTCATGGTCCCACAGGCATCTCCAACTCAACATGTCCGAACAGAACTCTTTACCTTTTGCCCAGAAGTCCCTCCCTCCCTGATTCCCTGATTCTGACCAGGAGGCCGCCATTTTGCAGTCAGCCAGGTTTACGCCCAGGAGCTCTCATCAACTCTTCACTCTCACTCATCGTCATCCAACCAGTTGCCAAGCTTTGCTGGTCCTCCTCCTCAATGTGTCTCAAACTTGGCCCCTTCTTTCTGCTCACACCATACCCGCTCCAGTCCAGGCGGCTCATCCCCACTCTCCCAGGCTACTCCAACAGCCTAACTGGTCTCCCAGCCTCTAGACTCTCATTCTTCACTTACTGCCAAACTGATATTCAGAGAGCACAAGCACAACCATGTCATATCCTTGCTCAGAAAAGCTCTGGTAGTTTTCCTTAGGGTTTAGGATGAAATGTAGAGTTCTCTGGAATGTAAAGCCCTTGAGATCTGGCTCGCTTATCTTTCCAGCCTGACTATCCAGCCCTCCCCTCATACACATTATGGTTGAACCAAATTGGCCTAATTGATATTCCCCATACACAAAATTCATCTCCCACCTCTGTACCTTTGCAATGGGCTATCCCCCATGCCTGCAGTGCTATCCTATCTCACCTTCACCTCTTGGAATCCCTCGTTCCCTTCAAAGCTCAGTCCAAAGGCCACCTCCCTCAAGATGCCTTTCTCAGTGTCCCTTTTTTCCTTCACCCCATCATTACACACACACACACACACACACACACACACATTTTCCGACATTTACATAGCTGTGAATTTGGAGCCCCAACCCCTAGTACAGAGGAAGGGAGGGGGAATAAGCATTTAAATAGTACCTACCATGAGCCAGGCATTGTACTAAGCATTTTTAGAAATATCTCATTTGACCCTCACAACCCTGGGAGGTGGGTGATATTATAATCCCCATTTACAGTTGAAGAAACGGAGGCAAACTAGTTATGTGACTTGCCCAGGGTCACACAGCTAGCAAGTGTCTCAGGCTGGATTTGAGCTCAGGGCTTCCTGACTCCAGGTCCAACATTCTATCCATTGTGCCTTGCGCATAGTAGACACTTTAATAAATGCTAGTTGATTGACACCCAAGGTTCTAGTATCAGATCTAGAGCTAACCTAAGCAGTTCAGCCTCATCTCACATTTAAGCAAACTAAGGCCCAGGGAAGTTAAATGACTTGTCTAAGGTCATACAGGTAGTAAGCATCAGACAGAATCTGGCCCCAGATCCTCTGCTGCTTTAGAGTTAAAATGCTTTCCGTTGTACTATACCATTACACTGGAATATGTAGCCAAACTAGTACTTCTACCCGCGTCTTCTGACTGCAAATCCTGTGCTTACCCTACCAAGGTAGGCTATCTGCATGGAGGGTATGTCAGGTGCTCCCAGGTTAGGGCACTGCCCTGGCCTAAAGTCCTGAGCTCTTCCCACCCTCGGACTGGAGGAAGAGGGAAAGGAAACTCCCTTCGTTTGCCTCTTTTCCAGATCGAGGTCTTCAGTGAGAATCACAATGTACTTTCCCCCCCTGATATTTTGAAAACTATTTCCTGATCCCTCTTACTAGTTTCTATAGGGATGGGAAAGAAATCACAGAATCTAAAGGCTGGATGGGGCTTTGAAACAGTCCTTCCTCATCTAACCCACCCTGAAGTGTAACTCTAACTCCCAGTGATATTTTAGGGCCTTAAGAGATAAAGGCTTCACTCCAGTCCAAACTCACAGAATCACAGGAATTCAGAACTAAAGGGAATCTTGGGAGTTATGTGCTCTCCTCTTCTGCTGCCTCATTTTCTTGCTTATCCAGGACACCGATGGGTCCAGGAGTGTTACCTTTCTCTCTCTAGCCTTCTTTGGGCTTGTTGCTTCTTCCACTACTTTCCCCAACGCCCCCCCCCATCCCCATCTAAAATAAACTCCTTTGTGGGACACTGAAAGCTCTTTAGAACTAGGCTCCTTTCTAACTTCTAGGCTTCTCACACTTCATTCCCCTCCAAGTATTCTGTGATCTAACGATGCTGACCCACCTGCCTACAGTTCCTTGAACATAGCACGTGCCATCTCCCGTCTTCATGCTTTTGTACCCCATCCCCCATGCTTGGGGAGCTCTTCCCTCTTGCTCTGCTCTTAGTACCCCTGCATTTCTTGACTTGGCTCAAACACCACCTTCCACAGGAGGCCTGCGTTTCTCATCTCACCCTCCACCTACGCTATCCGTATCACATACGGACCTAATTGTCTGCATGTTATCTCCCCCATTAGAACATAAGCTCTTTGTGGGGGCTGTCTTTCACTTTCTCTGTATTCTTCAGTGCTTAACACAGGACCTGGCACATAATAATGATATTTATAAAGTGCTTCCAAGTTTGCAAAGCACTTTACAAATATTCTAACATTTGATCATTTGAACTCTGGAAAGCTGCTGTTGCTGTTCAGTCGTGTCTGATTCTTCGTGATTCCATTTGGGGTTTCCTTGGCAAAGCTACTGAAACGTTTGCCATTTGCTTCTCCAGCTCACTTTACAGATGAGGAAACTGAGGCAAACTGATAAGGAGACTGGAGAGAGCTTCAGTGACTAGCTCTGGGTCAAAGAGCTAATAAGTGTCTGAGGCGCTGCCTGACTCCGGATCCAGCACTCTGTCCACTCACTGTCCCAGCCAGCAGTCGGAACAAAGGCTTAATAAACGCTTGTTGACCCACAGACCTTGGGAAAGGCCAGTCTGCTGAAATGAGCATTGAATGCAAGCTCTTTGAGGTGGGAATGACTTCATCTTTGTCTTTGAATCCCAGACCCCGGAACAGTGCCCGACACCGAATAAAAAGCTGGTGATTGACCGGCAAGTGTCCCCCACCTGTCCCCAGGGCCTGCTGGGCAAAGTCACTCACACCAAGCCTGCTTCTACAACCAGTTTATACACAGCTCTATACAATATACAGAAACCTCTATATACAGATAGATTTATAGAATAAGCTATATTAATTTGTCTCTCCTTTTTTACAGCAATATTAGTTTGGATCTTTCATACATTAGGTACAAAAAAGTCAGGTGGGAATGGCACGTAGGGCACGTGACCGTCTGTGGGGGCCAGAGGCGGGGCAGGGAGAGGGCGATGGGGATGGGGAGGGCCTGGTTGCTTCCTTGGTGATTGCATATGGAGGTTCTCTTGGCCCCTGGACAGTGAAGCAGCTCGGGGCCACTGAAGGCAGGGATGTGAGAGCAAAGTGGAGTGGGAGCTGCGCCAGAGGTGGGGGTTGAAGGGTGGAGGTGGGAGGCGGCTGCTCCTGGCTCCCTGCTGGCCCAGGGGAAAATGGAGTGACCCCTGACACCCCGAGGTTCTTTTCTACTCGAGGCAGAGCCTAGCAGTTTTAGAGGGGTGAACACCTCTTGGGACCATTTGGGAGAGAACCTGCCCCTCCCCAGTGTAGAGGGGCCTTGGGACCCCGGACCAGCCAATCTATGACACTGTGGCTACAGCCTTCACGGCGGGGGGGGAGAGGAAAGGGGCATGTCGGGGGAGCCTGGGGTTCTGGAGCACCCAGCCAGCTCTGCCTCTGGGGCAGAAGTTTGGCAGGCGGAGGCTAGGGGGCGAGGGAAGGCAACCCTGCGGACAGCCTACAGACACTACACCCTCAGACACAAGCTTACGTTGGGAGCGGAACCTTAACCTCCCCATCCTCGCCCTTCCACGCTGGAGAGTGGCCCATGCCCACGGTGAGTCGGCCCCGTGGGAGCCTAGAGTGAGACCCCAGGAGCAGAGCGGAGCAGGCGGCCCCGGGGGAAGGAGGGCTACAGGTGGGGCCGGTGATGCAGACGGGGGAGGTGGTGACAGAGCGCGATTCCCTGGCGTCATCCCTCTTACTGTGAGGTGGGACTGATGCCCATCGGGGCTTTTTCCAGCCTATGTCGTCCACTGCCTAGGTGAATCATGGGACGTTCCCTTCCTTTCAAAGTGCCCAGGATGGAATCCCAGCAGGTGTGGGGCCAGGCAAGGAGGGCAAAGGAAAGAAGGGCCCCTCCCGAGGGGCGACCATCGCTCACTGGCATTCTGATGCCATCTATGGGAAGAGGTCAGGCATCCGAACCAGCCCCAAAAAGAAGCTCCAGGGAACATAACCGAGGCAGAATCGGGAAGGGAGATGTGGAGACAGTGGAAATACTCGACCAAGCCTGGGCAGGCTGGTGAGGCGTCTAAGCAGATAACTTCCATGATGGTAATCCCCAGGGGGAGGGGGACTGGGGTGACAGCAGGAAGAACGCAAAAGGTCCAGGATGTGGGGGGAGAAAGGCAGGGGTGCTGCCATTTCCTTGGACCCCGTGGGGAGAAGCTGGCACACACACAACTCGCCGGGCCCTATCAGCTCACCTTGCGCTAATCCCGAGGGCTCCGGTAAGGGCCAGTGGTGTCAAAGTGGCTGGCTCCCTCACCCTTCCTTCAGCAAGGAAAATGCTGACTGTTGAAAACACTTCGAGCCACCGGGCTTACCCCTGGCCTTGTCCCCTGGGGGTGGGGGGTGGAGGGAGGAGGCTCAGTCTCTGATGGGCACCTCTGTGGGTATGGCAGCATGTGGGAGGTCATAGAACCCTCTCCTTTTGGAGGGTCCTCAGACATCCCTTTCTAAGGCAGCCCAAGCAGGCCTTCATGCCTCCTTCTGCACAGGGCAATATTCCTAGGTTCAGCTGCTAATGGGGGCATGGGGCCAGCAGTGGGGACAGACAGAGGCCTCCTTCCTGGCAGGAGGTCCCTCTGCAAGGGACTGAGAAGGGAGATGCGTCCTAGGAGCGAGGTGGCCCAGCCACAGGGCAGGAAGGAGGTAGAGAAGGGTTTCGTTTCAAATACTGGCATCCAAGGTGTCTGGGGAAAAGGGAAGCAGGCAAGGACCCTTTCTCCAAAAGCGCCCTGAGCTCGGGGAATGCATGCAGGTGGCAGGAAGGCCTATGGACAACCCAGCAAGCAGCAGCCATGCCTGCTTTCCCTCCTCTCTGAAGCAGTACAGCTCACCATGCGGCTGGGGTTCAGCTGGGGGGTGTTGCAAAGGCTGGAGAAAGGGGTGGGGGTGTCACTGCTGCAGCAGGAACCAGCTTGCAGCCCCAGTGCCAGGGCCAGTAAGGCCTGCAAGGGAGAAGCCAAAGCTCCTTCGACCACCACCTGACGCTCCTGGTCTGTCCCCATTGCCTAGCTGCCCCCAGGACCTGCACCCACCTCCTTCAGAAAGCTCATCTCAAAGCCTCAGGCCAGGCTGCTGTCTACACTTGCAGGATCTGAGAAGCCTTCAGTGGGGGACAGGGTGAGTGCAACTAAACGGGGGGGTGGGGAGTCCTAGGGCCTGAGAAGCAAACTGGGCCCAAAAGGCTCCTTCCTCTGAGAAGCTCTGGGGAGGGGAGCCAGGATGGACCTGAAAAGTCCCCTCAGGAGGCCCTGGGCCAGGCCCACCCTCGGGAGTACCCAGCCTGTGGGGAAGGCAGCTGCCTCAGAGCAGAGGAGGCTAGGCCCGCCATAGCAGAAACATCTCGGACTGAGCCTGTCGGCTTCTGTAAACATACACAGTTAGTGTCTGCTGACTGTGACCTTAGACTGGGGACCCAGCGACACGGCTGGGGAGGCAGCTGGAGGCAAGTCCTGCTGACGTGCCAAGGCCAGGTGTGGGGCTTTGGGGCCCAGGGATGAGGTGGAAGAGAGTCAGGGAAATAAACTGCTACCACACCCCTCCCTCTTCCTAATGCCCGGTCTCTGGGCACCAAGAGGGGAGGGCAGTGCCTGACCCTGGCTCCTTTACCTCTCCAGGGGAGAGCAGGGAGAAAGCTGGGGTGGTCTGGCGGGAGCGGGGGGCAGGGGCAGGGCCCAGATGAACGCAGGTGATGATTCCGAGAAGCCCTGGGAAGGCTGTTCCTGGATGTGGCGAGGGGGAGGGTGGGAGGCCAAGCGCTGCCCGGTCCCTTCCTGGCCCCTTCCCAGACCGTAGCGGCTTTGGTGAACCCTGGACTGCTCACCTCCCACCCCAGCTCACGGTGGACCCCAGGAGCCTGCACTGACTGGGGCTGAGGTAGGGAAACGGACCCTGTAATTCCACTCTCCTCTGCTGGCAGCTCGGCCCGAGGACTCCAACTGCCCCTCAGGTGACGCTTCCAGCCGTTGCCAGCGGGCAGGCAGGGGACGACGACCCCAGGCCTGGGTCTGCTGCATGCTCCGTGTGGTGGGTCCGAGCTCCCCCCACCCCCAGAACTAGAGGGCCGAGATCATGAGGTCCTCCTGCTTGGAGGGGCTGGCCGCGTGGCCAGCGGGAGAAGTCCGGATCTTGTCCGCGGCCAGGCACTCCTGACTGCTTAGGCCAGTGGGGGTCAAGTCCATGAGCTCTCCCGAGGAGCTGAGGGGGAAGGAGGGCGACACCGAGATGCCGGACGAGGGGTCGGTGGAGCCAGCAAAGAGCCGCGGGGGCTTGGGCACCAGGTTCGGCTCATACTGGGCCCGCAGCAGGATTTCCTGCTCGCTCACCGACTTGGGCAGCGCGCCGTAGTCGCCGCCGGGGCTCTCGGACAGCATCATGCAGTAGAGGTCCTGGAAGGAGCTGCTCTTGCTGTCCAGGTTGAAGAGACTGTCGATGAACTCGGCAAACTCCAGGACCTGGGGGCTCGGCGAATCCCCCAGGCGCCCATTTTGCAGGGTCAGCTCCCCCCTGGCCGGGGCAGGGGAAGAGCCACCCTCCTCCCCGCTGGAGCGTGGCTGCGGGCTCTCCCCGCCGCTGCCCCCGCCAAGCCCGGCCTCCAGCGGCTGCGTGTCCTGCGAGTGTTTGGACAGGCTGTCGGCGGCCAGGAGTTCTGTCCTTGAGCTGAGGGAAGGGTTCTCCTCGGGGATGGCCGGGTCGATGTAGAAGCAGTGGCCCTCGTCCCTCTCCATGACCGCGTGAAGACTCGGGGAGCCCCGGATGCTGCGGAAACCGGAGGAGCGGCGAGAGTCGAAGCTGTAGATGGACTCATTGTCCGACAGGCTCTCCATGGTGGCCAGGGGGGCCCGCCGGGCCTGCAGCTCCACCGACAGGCGCTCCTGGGTGGTGAGCAGTAGCAGCTCCACCGGGTCCTTCCTTGTGGGGGACAAGGCCTTGGTCTCATAGAAACCCTCCAGGCTGATCTCAGACTGGGACTTGCTCCTGCCAGGTTGGGGGTGGAGCGGGGTGGGGGCAGGGAGGGCCAGTCGGTAGGAGGCTCCTGGGTGGCAGTGGGCTCTGCCCCTCAGGAGGGAGGAGGAGGGGCGGGGCTTAGAAGGGTGGGGTCTCAGCCCGTGGCCCCAGGCCAAGGCAGGCAGAGGACTCCCGCCAACTCTGGGGTCCGTCCTGTGGTCAGGGAGGGGCACCGGCCTGGGCCTGTTTGTAAGGGGGTATGCTCGCTCACTGGGTGAGTGCCTAATGGAGAAGGCGTCCCTTTACTGACTTCATCTTGGGATGTTAGATCGGAGGGAGCCAAGCCCCCGCCCCTCCGCCCCTCCGACCCCCTGTCCCCTAGCAGCCCAACCCTCCTAGAGAGTCAAAGTGGCACTTACTTGATGCTGCTGCTTCTGGGGGCAGCAGGCGGAGGCTCCAGGGAGTGGGGGCCGGAGGGCAGGGGCTGCTGCTGGAAGATGAGCTCTGGGGTCAGGTCCACCTCGGTGGGACTCACCATCACCTTGGCTGCGGAGAGCAGGGCCGTCTTACCCTTATTGTAGTTCTCCAGCACCTGCGGAGAAAGGCCAGGGTCAACAGTCAAGAAAGGCTCTGGACAGGCCACTGGAAAGTGGACCACAGGTTCATGGCTGAGCAGAACCTGTCTATGGGCAAGGCCCGAGGACCTGTAGTCTAGCCAACATGATGCAGCTAGGTGGCACTGCAATGGGTACAGTGCTGGGCCCGAGTTCAAATGCAGCCACAGACACGTACTAGCTGTCTGATCCCGGGCAAGTCCCTTAACCCGTAACCTCAGTTTCCTCATCTGTAAAATGAGCTGGAGAAGGAAACGGCAAACCAGGCCAGTATTTTTGGGTCATGAAGAGCTGGAAATGACTTAACAAGAATAATAAACAAAAGACTTGGAGTCAGCAGACACCTGGGCGCCAGTCCTGCCCCGGGCATTTACTAGCTGACTGACTACAGGCAGGACACTTTCCCTTTCTCAGCAAGAGTCTCCTTGTTTGTAAAACAGAGGTTGCAATGCCTGGCCTATTTGCCTCCCAGGTGGCCAGGGTCAAATGAGATGAAGCACTTTGCAGAGTCCCATCTAAATGTCAGTCACCAGTGTTAGCCTCCAACATCCCGACTGAGCCTCAGCTGCTCTTCCACCCAAGGCCTCCGACCTCAAGGCCTCTACTTGGTGTGGGCACGCCTGGACTTGAGCCGGGTCCTGCCAGGTGGCAAAGGCTCCAGATGCAGGCTCAGGGACAAAGAAGAGCTTGTGAGGAAAGCAGGAAGGCAATGGAGGGAGAGAACAGATGGAAATCCAGGGTCTGCTCATTACCTGAGGCACTTCCTTGTGCCTCAGTTTCTTCCTCTGCCGAATGAGGACGTTGCACGAGAGCAGAGGTCCTTCATCTTCTCAGTGTCATGGAACCCTTGGGCAGCCTGACAAATCCTATGGACCCCTTCTCAGAATGTTTTCAAGTGCACAGTACAGGATCTCAAAGGACACCAACCAAACAACACACGGGAAAAGTCGTCATTAAAGTTTATTAAGTAAAAAGAAGTTCTTCAGATTCACAACTCCCAGACTAGACAGTCTTTAAGGTCCTATGGCCAGCCTACCTGAGTGTAGAAAGCAGGAGGTTTTTAACCTCAAATCTGTGAACATTTTTGAATAAATATTCTGAGAACTGTATTTCATCATAATTGGTTTCCTTTGTAATCCAATCTTTTGTTTTATGCATTTAAAGTCATTATTTTAAGAAAGGGTCCATAAGCATCACCAGACTGCCGAAGGGGTCCTGGACTTACAAAAGGTTAAGAGCCCCAAGTATACTCACTGCCTGCTGGGCCTCCAGGACAATATATTTTTCAGTCACAGGCAACTCCCTAACTTGACCCAAGTCCTAGAGGAGCTGTGATCTGCATCAGTGGCAGACACCTGTACACCAGAAAAAGAATTGATTCTTGAAGTATCACCCCCTGGTGATGGTGGTGGTGTTTTCTTCATCACGATCTTCAAAAGAGGGGAGGCCATGATTTTTCCAAGTCATTCCAAACGGGGTCCAGAGGCTCAAGCTGCCGTCCCAACACTACTCTGTGGCGGGATCTCGGACAAGCTGCTTCCCTTCCCTGGGTCTCCCCATCAGTTGTAGGAGGGCATTTGGCTAGATCAGGGGTGGGGAATGTGAGGCTCCCTACCCCTGGGCTAGGTGATCGCTAAGGTCCCTTCCAGCCAGAGCTGGAACTATCAATGTTCACGTCTAGGGCAAAGTGTACAAATGGAATGAGCCTTCAAATAAACTTTTAAAGAGAAGTTCAGGTGGGGGGAGGGACCCCAGAGCCCCATGCCAGGGAGGCTGCTATGGAGGCTATGGAGCTCACGAAGGGGGTAGCTGTGGGGAGCTGGAGGGAAGGCAGGATATCAAGCCATTGATAGCTTTCCGTTTTAGCATTAGTCTTGCTAACATCCCCCATCTCTGCACCTTTGAACAGGCCATCCCTCGTGCCTGAAATGTACTTCCTCTTCACCTCTATTTTGTGGAGCTGTCTCCAACGCTCCCCTTAAAGAAGGTCCTTCCTACTCTCCCTAGCTGCTAGTATTGCATGCCCTGAAATGATATGTATTTTGTATTTATCAGGGTCCACATTACATCCCCTGGTAAAACATAAGCATCGTGAAGCCTGGGACTTTTGTTTTTGTCTTTGTGTCCCCTGTACCTAGTTCAGGACCCATCAATTAATCAATGAATTATTTATTAAGCACCTACCTACTATGTAGCTGCACCATTCTAGATGTTGGGGATACAAAAAGGCAACAGCCCCCACCCTCAAGGCTGCTGTCTGTTTGGGGATACAAGTCTTCCTTCTCTCTTCCATTCCCTTCCTTCCTCACCCTACCACCTTCTTTCTTACCTGACCTGTGACTTCAGTGCTATAGGGAGTTCCCAAATGAGGAAACTCCCTCTGCCAATGAAACTCAGAGCCTCAGAGAGTTTCCTGGGGCACTCAGAAGTGAAGTCACTGGCCCAAGTTCACGTGGCCAGTAGATGGACTGAATTCCAGGCCCTGGGAAGAGCCAGTGCCAGGGCGTACAGATAGTGTTGTGGAGGAGGAATGGCAAGAAGGTCAGTCTGACTGGACCGTCCAGTGTAAGGGGTCATGAGGCTAAAGGCAAGTCAGGGCCAGGAGGTGAAGATGGCCTTTACAAGCCAAACAGAGAAGTCTATGTTTTATCCTGGAGGCAACAAGAAGCTAACAGAATGTATTCAGTGAGGAAATGAAATGTTCACACCTGAGCTGAAGAAACATCACTGAAGCTGTGGAGAGGAGGGAGAAAAGAATGAGATCTGAGACACGGAGACCAATTAGGAGGATGAGGGCCTGAACTATGGTGAAGAGCGAGTGGAGAAAAGGGCTGGAGTACGAAACAAATACGAAAGACACTGAAGAGGCAGAAACAAATGCATTTGGAAGTGACTGGATATCTGGGGTGAGGGAGAGTGAGGAATCCGGGATGCAAGAGACTGGGAGGGTGGTGGTGCCCTGGACCGTACCAGGGAGTCTGGAAGAGGGGAGGGAGGGCTAGGCAGTAGCCTGTTGGCACCTGATGCAAAAGAAACAGCAAACTGCCCCCAGTATTCCCAGGGTGAAGGGGGCTGGAGGCTCGGTCTGTCAGCGTGCGTGCTTCTGAGAAAGGGACAGGACTGCCAAGGGAATTCCTCCCAAGAAGGTAAAGGCAAAGGTGATGATAACGATGGCAATAACGACAATGATGATGTATGATCATCATCTTCATTTATCATAAGCGTGACGAAGATAATGATGATGATTGTAACAATAATGACAGTAACTATGATGAAAATGACGATGATGATAATGACAGTAACAATAATGATAATTATGGTGATGATGACAATGATAATAACGATGACGACGATAACAGTAATGAGGGTAATGATGATGAAAATGACAATGGTGATAATAATGATTAC